GTTCTTTGGCATTCCTGGAGCCACTTCCCGGAAGCATCGCACCGGGTTTTCTAGAGTATATTGTGTTCACTTCTAAATGTTTTTCAGATAAACCACTTTTAAGTCTATTTATGAAATCTGTCACTGCAAATTTTACTTCTGGCTTCAAAAACCTATTGCCTCATTTTTCTTGTGAGAGTATTTTTAGGCACTCAGGAATGTAATTACAAATTCTGTTGTTTGTAAAAGTGATTTTTAAAAGTCCTGTTTCATGATCTAACATTTGAAATTGTGAGGTCTTACCCTCAAATATAATAAATAATCTCTGTCAGATTTCTTTATCTCCTTTCTTCTTTAACTGATCTGGTAGATGACTTCCATAAACATCCCATAAATATCTCAAATTACCTCTGACTGGGTGTCAATCCTACGCTGTTCAAAGCCAAGTAACGGAGAGAGGGCTCTGAAATACGGGAGACTTTGTGAAGACTCAAATTAAGGATACTCTTTTTTTCCCTGAGGACTGATTTTGAAAAAACACATACCTAGTCATGTAGGTACAACAACTGGAACTTTAGAAATTACAAATAGAAGTCATAGGAGTGGGTTTTTTTCTTTTCATCACAATTATCTTTTTAATTTTTAATTGTAGTAAAACACAGGTAATGTAAACTTGATGGTCCTAACTGCTTCTAAGTGTGACGCTCAGTGACGTCAGGTACATTCACGTTGTTGTGCAGCCCCTCCCACCACCCATCTCCAGAACTCTTCCATCTTGCAAACTGGAACTCTGTACCCATTAACACTACCTCCCCGTCCCCCTCTCCCCCAGCCCCTGGCCACCACTGTTCTACTTTCTGTCTCTATGAATTTGACTACTCTTTAAGTAGAGTAGTCTCTTTAAGTAGAATCACACTGTATTTGTCTTTTTGGCTTATTTCGCTCAGCATAATGTCCTCAAGTTTCATCCATGTTGTAGCATGCCAGAATCTCCTTCCTTTTCAAGGCTGAATAATATTCCATGGTATCTGTATGCCCCCTTTTGTGTCTCTATCCATCCATCAATGGACACTTGGGTTGCTTCCACCTTTTGGCTGTTGCAAATAATTACTGTGCACATGGGGGTGTAGATATCTCTTTGAGACCCAGCTTTCAATTCTTTGCGGGTGTATATTCCAAAAGTGGAATTGTTGGGTCATGTGGTAATTCTATTTTTACTTTTTTTTGGAGAAACTACAATACTGTTTTCCATAGCTGCTGTATTCTTTTCTATTTCCACCCCAAATGCATTGGGGTTCCAACTTCCTCACATCCTTGCCAACGTTTGTTTTTGTTTGTTTATTGCTAATAGCCATCCTGAGTGAGTTTTTAGAAATTTTTTTTTGTATTTTTTATTTCCAAGATTAACTTACTTGCTTACTTACTTACTTTATTTATTTATTTAATTGAAGTACAGTTGGTTTACAATGTTGTGTTGGTTTCTATTGCACAGCATAGTGATACACCTATATATATATATATATATATATATAGGTGTGTATATATATATTCTTTTTGGTATTCTTTTTCATTAGAGGTTATTACAAATTACTGGATAAAGTTCCCTGGTTTATGCAGTAGGACATTATTGTTTGTTAATTTTATAGATAGTAGTTTATATCTGTTAATCCCAAACTCCTAATTTATCCTTTCCCCCTTTCCCTTTTGATAACCGTAAGTTTGTTTTCTATGTCTATGAGTCTCTTTCTGTCTTGTAAGTAAGTTCATTTGTGTCATTTTTTTAAGATTCTGAGTGGGTTTATTTTTAATGTTTTGTTAAAAATAAAATTAAGAATTTTTCCTCAGTGTCCTCGCTTTATGAGGGACATTTGTTTTATATATAACAATTATTTTCTAATAAAGATGACAACCATTTATTCATGATTGATGACACTGGATAGTGCAATGTAAACCAGCAGATCTGTGAGGGTTACGTTTTCCAGAGGAAGCTTAAACACCATATATTGAACCTAAAAATTCTTATAGGCTAGGAAGAAAGAGGAGAACAGACATTTATTTGGCACCTACTGTGTGTTAGGCTCTGCATTAAGCATTTTGTGTATATTTTGACACAACCTTCATCACAACTCTACTGATATATGTTAATACTTTCTTTATGTATATTCAGAAATAGAAACTTAGAGAGAGTAAGTGACTTGCTAAGGTCAGATAGACAGCATTGCAGATGTGTCCAAACCCATGTCTTTTTGTTTGTTTGTTTTTATGGGGGGGGAGGTAATGAGGTTTATTCATTTATTTCTATTTGGAGGAGGTACTGGAGATTGAACCTGGGACCTTGTGCATGCTAAACATGCGCTCTACCACTTGAGCTATACCCTCCCCACCAAACCCACGTCTTGTGTTGTGCTCTGCTATCACTTGCTGTCTGTTAGGCTTAAAGCACCTCATTTGTCCAATCCATGTGGTTTGTGACATCCTTTCAATACAATAGTTCATGCATTCAATACAACAGTCCTATGAGTGGTTAGAATCCATGTTATCCAGATCCGTATGTTTTTTTTTCACCAGTGGAGGAAATTGTAATTCACAGAGTCATGTACTCACAAAACTTGTTGGAGGCGGAGCTGGGACTCGAACCCAGGTCCTTTCATTCCAGATCCGGAGGACCTCTCACTTTTCCGTGATCCCTTTTACTGTCCTGGGCAGCTCACACAGGGAAGTCATCCAGCCTTGTTAAGAGAAAGTTAGATATTACATTTTATAGACCCTCTTTTTGATGAAAGGTCTTGGGATGTACAGTGCTTTCTAATTTATATTTGATCAACTTAGTAAAAGGCCTGACATCTCCCGTTCCATTCCTTATTCAATACCTAGATCAAAAGGTTACGTTCATTAACATAATTCAGGGAATCATTCTTCAAATCCTGATTGGATGTTACCATGTGCCAGACGCTGTACTTAGGGCTGGAAACCCAGAGATAAATAAATAAGACGTTGTCCTTGTCTCCAGGAAGCTCACAATATACCAGGAATATAACACAAAAACATAATAACAAGCAATATAACAGTAAAAGCTTCTCAGGAGAGGACGTATGACATATGATCTACACCTTAGACAGAGGCTGGATTTCATCTAGAAGAGAAAGAGTTAAATAGTGGTTTATTCTTTGTGGAGCCATGAGGAAACCTTCATCCAGTTTCAGCTGCCTGAAGGAAATGTTCAGATACAACTTCTGTTTGATTTGAATGCTTAAGTTTTTGCCCATGTGGCTTGACTGAATTGATCGAACATAGAGTTCAGATTTGTGTGATTTGGAGTCATCAGTGTGGGCAGTTGATGGGTGAACATTCTGATTGCTTTGCAGGTCATCCAACCATGTCTTTGAGGATGTAAAAGTGATTGCAAGGACCATGTCGTTATTTTACCCATTCTGACAGTTGCTCATTGCTGACTGGAATTGGTCGGATGGGGACAGAGGTTGTTGCTTGACTGTCTCCATGTGTATCTTTACTCCACAGGGAGAAAGAGGTCCCCGAGGTCTTCCTGGACTCCGAGGTGAGGACGGATGCCGGGGCAGGAGAGGACCCAAGGTGAGTGTGGCCTCAAGCTGTGGAGGTCTTTCCCTGCCTCTGGAGTTTTAGGAAAATCTTAATTCTTCAGCGTAGCTCTGGTGTTTTAGCTCTTTCTCAGACTGAGGGAGTGGAGCAGTGGAACCCGAGGAAAGGCATCCAGTGCGAAATCTAGTGTTTATTTGAGGGGTGGGGGTGAGGGTCACAGTAAACCCAAGTAGGGGAGTACAGAAGTTAGACAGAAGGGAAGGTGGCCTAAAAAGAGTGCATTATTATTTGATTACACTGTGGGTGGATAGAGCTTAATCCTGCTGAGAAGCAGTGGGGGCAGTGAGCGCAACTCAACCCCAGGGGGAGGGAGCGGGGGTATGTGTGCACTAGATCCCATCGGGCATTAGTTGAGGGCGGCTCCCAGGGGACACTGATGCCCCAGCACGTCTGGCCAGTCTCGTGTGTGGACAGACTCCAATACCAGGAAAAGCCCTCAGGAGGAGACCCACAGAGGTAGCAGCTGGAAGTTGGGCTTGAGAACAATGAGATTTTAAAGGCTCAATGGTAGACTTTGTGCTTAACAAGCACAAGGTCCTGGGTTCAATACCCAGTGCTTCCATTAAAACAAACAAACAAACAAACAAGCAAACAAACAAACAAATAAAAGCCAAATTTAGGGATCATGAGTGGGAAACCCTTTTTTAGTGGTTGCTTTAAATGTCTCTTAACCTTCTAGGATTAGAGAATGTCCTTTAATAAGGCCAGAGAATTATTTTTACAGCCAGCTTTAGAGTCCTCTGGAGTTTTTCTGATCACAGTGACCATATTCTGTATCTTCTACCAAGTTTGTCTTTCAATTACTTTGTCTTATGGTTCCCGGAAGCCTTTGCATGCTTGTGACTCAGTGTATTCCCATTTTTGTTTGGAAGCATATGATTGTTGTCATAAATGACAGGTTACTGCTGTTTCTGGCTCTCCCCCTACTGTGGGAGGAGTTACTAGTCACACTTTTCTCCACGTCACGGTGCAGGGGAGTGGTAGTAATCAGTGATGTCCATATGGTCACTGGAGAAGAAATCTCCATTTTGATCCAAAACTTGCACTTTCTTTTTTTAAAATTTTATTCTCAATTGAAGTGTAGTTGATTTACAGTGTTAATTTCAGCTGTACAACAAAGTGATTCAGTCATACATACATACATATATATATTTCAGATTCTTTTCCACTGTGTGTTATTACAAGAAATTGACTATAGTTCCCTGTGCTAGACAGTAGTTTCTTGTTGTTTATCTATTTTATAT